TTTTTTTTTTTGTTTTTGGCAAGGAAACCAGTTACGGGGGGGGGGGGGGGGGGGGCTGGTCCGCTTCAGGCGACAACTTTCGTCGATCGGAACGATCTCGAATCGAGGGTAGATAGTGCGGAACGGTTAAATGTCAGGACCTCACAAAACACGACAATAACAAAACAGCAACAGCAGAAACAGCTATGAAGTGGCAGCAACATCCCAACAAACCTGTTGCCGGTTGATGGTGTGCGGATCCACAGCCAAGAGGAGTCTGCCTGGGAGGGAGGCAAAACCTTGGCCTTGAACGTGTTGGAGGGGGTTTCCTGGACAGCTAAGAGATGGTGGAGCGGGGGGCTCGATAGGGCCAGGTGAGCGTCGAGACGTCCTTGCGGAAAGTTTTTCAGGACGCATCATGGTACCGTCATAACACTTAATGATGTTGTCGTTGTAAATAGTCGGGTTGGTGTATACATATGGTGACAACAGGAAAAAGCAAAAAAACAGTAGGGTCAAGCGGGTGGTAACACTTTTGTTCAGCTGTGCGGTGAGCGTTGACATGCCAATACTCCAAGTCAAGGCAAGGGCTACAACGGATTGGGTAGGTGAACGCCGTCTCTGCCCATTATACAAAAGAACACCATTACTTGGGTTGGGTCATGGTTTGCAGGTTTTTCTTGTGTGAAACAGAACAAGCTTTATTGGGGTTCGGATGGTTGGCATCGACGTGTCGCGTTTGAATGAGAGCGGAGGCTGCACGAATCCAAACGGGCAGTGCTGTTCTGTTCGCTATGTAGCGCTGTCCAGATGTTTCGCGTTGTTCTCGTTTCCTTCCCCTCCTTGTGCGCACCTGCACTCCTTCTCTGCCGTCTCTCGGTGTCGCCCTCTATTGCACTACCTCTCCATGTGCCCTCTTTCCGTGCCACTTCCCTTCTTAGTCGGGCTCTGACGCTCGACGAAATGATGAGAGAACAACACCCTAGAAAGAAGTAGGTACAAATGGCAGGCACCGCTGTCAAGATGCGAACGAACTGAGAGCTTCCGTTATTTTAATGTTGTTCGACCACGTGCAGGGAGGATGTCTCATTTGCTGTGGGCCTTACAGATCCCGAATCGTTTGCGAGATCCGAGGAACAAGAAGAAGAAGTGCAGCGGCAGCAGCAGCAGCAGCAGGGTGAAGGGGAAGAGAAAGGGGTGAGTGAGGATGAGGAAGGAGAGGACGAGATGGCGGTTGCGAGCAGGTGACAACCTTGGTTCAAGGTCGTCATTGACACCAGGGTTTAACGAGTTGTACGTCGGGTGTAACATAGTTCGCGGACTGGAATATTCGTATGGAGGAGGGGCTGTACTCACGTAAACGCTGTCGTATTTGGTAGACCACTGATCTCGCGCGTGAACGGGGGACAAGGCTTCGATAGATTGACAATAGAAACCCGCGGCTCACAGTAATGAAGTTCTTGCCTTGCGTCTTTCGGTTTGATGTTTTCGTGACTGAGATTGTTTGTTTTCTGTGGACAAATGCTGGACGAGGCCCTCTAGTTTTCTTTGTCACGTCATGCATGGAATGCCTCCAAGCACGGCCGCACCTTCGATCTTGTTCCTGGTCGTTGTCGTGCGTGCGTTTTCGGTGCACGGTATTGCAGGGAAAAACAGAACGGCGGCAGCAGCAGCAGCAGCAGCAGCAGCAGCAGCAGCAGCAGCGGCAGGTGCTGCCAATGAAAGGCTCCAAACACAGCAGCGAACGTGATGGTAGCGGCGATGCCAGCTCGAAGAAAGCGGGCCAATCGGTGCGCACCTATATAACTTAACAATTCGAATCAAGCGTGATTTCTAATCTGGACTGCCAGCCCCTCGAGTTGCAAGGGCTCTCTGAAAAAAAACAATTCTTGTGTGTCTGTACGCACTCTATCTAGGTTTTATACTACATCACTTTTTGATCGTAAAAGGGGTCAGTACATTCTTCTTTTTCGGAGCACACAGCAGAGTGCACCTGCAGAACATACGCACAGGCACACACGCAAAGCAGACAACACACGCTCAGCGAGCAGAGCGACACATGCACAGCGGGCACGGTGGATAGAACAGGTTATTGTTTGACAAACCGAGACATTGCATGGTGCCCTCGTCTGCGACTGCTGCTGCTATTGACGCACGGGAAATTGTTGTACCACACACATGACAAACACGGAAACAGCAGCATGAGGACAGCAGCAGCCCCAAGGCCTCCAACGCACTGATTTCTTCTGTTCGGCTGTCTATATGATCCGCACTCCCGGCGCTGTGCTGCTTCGTGGGTTTTGGGGGCATGGGTGCTGCTCTAGAAGGTGTATGAGAGATGTCTACCACCTCGCCAAACTGCCGTTTGAAAAAAAGGGGTGAGATGGCCTGTTTTGGGTCGGAGACCAGCCCCATGAACCCACGGCACCACGCAGGTGTAGAGCAATCGGGCCTCCGACACGCTAATTATTTCGGATTGGTCATGTATATGATACTGACCCTCAGCGCCGCCGCCTCTCTATCATTGTTGAGTTCGTCTACCTTTCGACAGAGGAGAGGGGGGAAGTATCTTATGTTTTGCATGCCTTAGCGGGTAGACCATTGACCACGCGTCCTCGAGAAGACGGAGCATTTTCCCACAGGACCGATCACCGATGGCCAATCGTTCTTTCCTACTTTGCCAAAGGTGTCTCAATAATGTCTTCCCTAGTCTATCTGTCCGAATGATATCACTTCCCGCCTTTTCAAACCACTTCCTACTCCCCAGTACAGCTACCGTATTCTCCTCTCTATTCCATGCTTCAAACATCTCCCTGTACCTCCCTTCTATTTTTTTCCAGCTCATTCATGTACACTCCCCTCTCCTTTTCGTACAACTGACATTCCGCGACTTGTACATGAACACGGTCTTCGCACTCGAAGCCGCAATCACATTTGAACTTGTCGTCTTCGTCTTCTACCGTCCTATGCCTTCGTCGACGTTCTCGAAGGCCTATGTCCCCGGTCCTGAATTTGACCTTCAGCTGTGCCCCTGCATCCATTGGTCCGTGTCGGTAATCCTTGAACCCTATTCCTTCTTTCAACTTTCCGTACAATTCTAGACCCTCCTTATCCTCGGTGTCTTTCCTTTGATTATGTTCTTCTCTCTCGGCACAAGCAACAGATATCTTCTCCTTGAACCCCTGTAGACCCTCCGTTTCCAGCGTTTCATCGTCGTCGATTTCGAACCCCTTCCGTACGTCCTCTACAACCTTGACCCATTCCGTGGGTTGTCTACCCCTCTTTTTGTTTGTCCACTTCGCCTCCCATACTACTCTCGGCAACCTTTCCTCTCCCATCCCGCACATGCGATACTGCCATGTTAGCTTCCTTGCGTCTCTTCCCGACCGTAGGGATTGGATCTCCAATTCTGCCGTGACGGCTGCATTACTTATGCGCTTGGAGCATCCTAGGATGATTTTCGCTGCTTTCATCTGCGCCGTCTCGAGTTCTTTCACTACCTTCTTGCTTCCTTCCCATACTTCTCCGGCGTACTCTAGCGGCGGTACGATTACGCCCTCCAAAACCGTCAATTTGAAACGTGTATCGAGCAGTCTTTTGCGATCTCTACTCCGAGGTATGTGTACTGGTCCACTACTGCAATCCCCTCGATCCCCCGCTTCCATCTATATTCTACTGGTTCCTTCCTGTCCTCGTGGCATACCATGACGGCACTCTTCCTAACGTTGGCAGACAATCACCACTTATCAGTAAACTTCTTCGCCGCGTCAATTTGACGTTTCGACAGGGGGCGTTAAAAAAGGGGGGTCACCACGGGAAAAATGAGGGGAAGGACTTGAGGAAATCGCAGGCGACACCCAGTCTGTGACACTACTCCCTACCCCCAGTGCTGAAAACAGCAGGCCGGGTGGACAGGGTCTTTACAAGTGTGCTGTCCTCTCTGTTGGTGCTCATTTTTGTGCTTGTGCCACGGCTCCATGGTGAGCAAAGCCAATTTGACCTGTTGTGTGTCAAGCAAGGCGTGCATGCAGCGATAGGAAACGCTTGTTTGCGCCGATTTTTTATTGACCGATGGGGGATTTGTTTTGTTTTTATCGGTTAGACCGTTTTTTTTTAGGGGGTCGATACGTAGGAATATCCCTCTCAGTCACGCACTTCCGCCAGTGGACGCACACGTCTGACAACAGCTACATCTATCAGCTGTCGCTCGTTGTGGCGATAGCTATACTGTCTTCGTGAAGTCCACTCATTTCTCGTGCGACAATGCCGCGCGGCGTTCGCGGGTGGAGATGGAAGGAGGAGGACAACTACCCTCCATGCCGGTCGTTGCATTTTGCGCCAGGCGCCCTCCCCTCCGTGTCATTTCCAACGCAACAGCAGAGTCCGTCCCCCTCTCGATTTCCATTCGATGTTCCACACGTATATTTCACCCTGAATAATTCGGGTCCCGGCCCTCTTGTCCGAGAGATGATACTAGTCCTTCTTGCGAGCAGCCCTTTCTTCCCAAAGAAGGATTCGAGTGTCTTCTTCAGAACGATTCGAGTGGGTGTTACAACATTTCGTTCGTTCAAGGCTGACACACATTGTCTTGGCATAGCAGCGCTCTGTCCGAGAATGCTACATTCCTTGTTGAAGCCATCACCTTATTTTGTGTGCACCACTCGCTTTCGAGAGCGGCGCTCGCTCTCGCGCCAGGACATAGCGTAAGCGTCGCAATGTATGTCAGAGTGTAGCAACAGGCAGCGGGTGACCCGCGTTACCTCCCTCGCGTCCGTGCTCCCTGTGTCATCGCTACCATCACCGCCTCTGTTCGTGTCGCCGCAACAGCAGCAGCAGCAGCACCAGCAGCATCAACATCTTTGCCCCATCACGAGGTGCCCGATGGAAGACCCGGCCGTCGCTGCGGACGGCTACACATACGAGAGGTATGATTTCACATACGTAAAGCATGATGTCGGAGTTGTTTTCAGTCTGTGGTATGTGTCTTGTTTGGTTCTTTGGTTTCCCAGTATTCAAGGCTAATAGTTTTTTTTTTGTCTGTCACACGGCTCTGCTGTTCTTAACACAAGATTCCTCTGCAGTGCAGGCCTTCATTTCTATTGGCTGGAAGCTTGCGGAGCCTCGAAGTTCTCCGAAGTGCATAGGGAACTCAGAGTTTTGTTTTTTTTTGTCACTCCATCCAACCTCAAAATACAGAGACTTTTTGCATGTGTTTGGCGTCCCCTCGGAAGCGAGCATCGTTTTCCATGCCTGCTGCTGCTGCTGCTGCGGTGGTTGTTGTTGCTGCTGCCTTGACGTGAATAGTAGCACACCGCTGTTGACCTATCATCGTACACCGCGCGATAGCCGGTCACGAAACAATATCCGTGGTGTGGCCACAGGGTGATCCAAATGCTTGCAAACGATTGAGGAAGATCCCCGTCAGTTTCCGGAGTACGTTTGTTTGCAAGGAGGAAACATCGCATACCTATCAAAGTTGATAATGGTGAGCAAGCTCATTTTGGGTGTGTAGGATCTTACCAGATGTCAATTTTCGTGCTCAAGTGCTGCGTGTGCCAAACCTTGTTGGATTGTTGCTTCCTCCCTTGTGGTCTCATCGCTCGAGGTAGCTTACCACTCTACGGTTGGCATCTCAATTGAACACCTCCGATCGACGGATCTAACCTTTCTTGGTGTTTTGTTTATTCAACAGGACCGCCATCGAGTGCTGGCTTTCGGAGCACGATACAAGTCCCGTCACCGGCAAGGCCCTCGAGACAAAGGTGGTCTTCAAGAATTGGTCGCTCGTTTCCTCGTCGCCATCTCCTTCCTTCTCTTCGGAGCCTGGAAGATGAGGAGGGGCGAGGGAGGAAAAAAAGAGAGAAATGATGTTTCTTTCGGCGGGTCAAGTGGTCTTACTTTTGTTTTCCCTCCGTTCATACTTGTCAATGACGGAGAGATTTGCTGTTTGAGCCTATCCCCTGTTCCGCCGAAAAGCAGTTATCTGTGCAAAAGCAGTTGTATGAATGCTATTTGGCTTGACGACAGCAATGACTTTTTCCGGTCTGCGGGCCGATCCCTGTTCGCTTCTTCCTTCTTCCTGAAGCAAACGACAAGGCACGAGAGGTCTTCTTTTTGAATCATGGTCAGCTTTGTTGTGCACTGCTTGGGTGGAGAAGCACTTGTTCGAAGGAGCTCGTACTGGTGATGCACAAGCAACGCTTCTGCAGAGTGAGAATATTTGAATTTCTCAAGAACTGTAAATACATTGCATGTGTCCAGCATCCCGCTGGTTTCGCGTTTGGATTGGGGCTGGCAACGCCCTCAGACTGTGAATGTAGGGGCAAGCCCGAGAACTGACGTCATCCTGGTATGATTTCATTTCTTCTCTTGCTTCTATTTTCACTTGCCAGCTCGTCCTGGTTTGATAAACACCTTCCTGTACAGTATAGGTTGTCGATCACGACTCAGACGAAGACATAGCTAGATCGACTTGATAATACTCCGGACATTTGACGTTGTGTAACGGTAGATTATAGTGATAGCATCACCGTTGGAAAACTGGGAATACGAAAACAGATCTCACGTACAATCAACACCGACTCTCATGAGGAAGAAGAGCACGTACGTTGCAGCCCTACATAGGTCGTTTACGCCTGTGAGCGTGAGAGAGGACCACGGAGTACGTTAGGACGTAAAGCGAAAGAAGAGCTAGACAACAGAGGTGGCCACAAAGCTCTAGAGTCAAATGCGATACACCCCACACGTGCGAGAACCGAACGATACATCTCTCTGGTGTCATCACCATCCCTGTCTGTGTCGTCGACGCAACTCTATGCGTGTTCCACTTTCGATCGTCGTTCGTCATCGTCAGGGCACCGTGCCCGGTAAGGGTTCATAGCTCCCCACGAACTGCTGTGGTGTTATAGCAATAGCACTCCGGATATGGTGTTTTTTTCAACATACTTCGAAGTACGACGTGGTAACGATGGGGTCTCATGTCACTCGAGGGAGCACGATCCTAGGAAATCATGTGGTTGGTTTTTAATGAGCGTGGATGCAAGTCGCGTAGCCCGGTCGACTACTCCCGGGCCCTCCCACACTATTTGACAAATGCATTCAGCTTCCATGGAAGTGAATTTTGACTTCCAGTCGTTGCCCGGTCGACTACTCCCGGGCCCTCCCAGCACGATTCATGTAAAGCTCATCGTATTGCCTCATGCGCGGCATGCTGCAGCTTCCGGCAAACATACAACAAGAACCGGACACCGCTACGCTTCTCCGAACGAGAACCTATGACCTCGTCGTGGATTCTATCCCGGAGTTCGACTACAGAAAGCCTCGAGGGGATACTAGATTAATGCCTCCTCGGGCCCACGCGCAGACGAAAACGGACAGTTTTCGCCCGGTCTGCCCCCCATTTTCATGGGACAAGACACATACCGCTAACCCACATGATTGCGCTTCCTTTTTATCCACACTTTCCAAATCAAGTAAGGCCATAATCAAGAACTGACCCAGTGTACATCCAAGGCATCGACATTATGCAATAGGTCGCTCATTCAAGTTTCAAAAGGTGAAAATGATGAAGGTAAGTACTCGGTCATAGCCAGATGGAAGATTTAGACCCTGATGGCAAGGCCTACACGTATATTTTGCCGGAAACGCCTTGTACGAAACAATGAATGACCCAATATACTTCCTCTGTCCCATAAATCTAGTCGAATATGGGCGACATGTACTTATAAGGTACAAAACTACCGTTCTAGTTAGGTTCGTTCGAAGCTCATACCCAAACACCATCCATACTACCATAGATTCCACGCCCGCTTGTGCTCTACCTTCCCAGGCTAAATCGCTCTTCATTCAACCGAAGAATGCAGTTTACTTCAAGACGGCCAGCCTACGGTCGCTCCCTAAATGATACAGTATGTGTACGCGTGAAAAAATGCACTTCTCGAATGTATATCGTTCATGTTGCTTTCACTGGTCCTCCACAGACGACAACCAGCTCCATGTCCAACTTGGTGAACTTTCCTGCCTTCTTTCGCCCTCGTCGACGGGCTCAGAGGTCGTTCACTGCTGCGGCTGTTCACACGTGCAGCCGTTCGGGTCTCCGCTCAGTGTCTTTTCATACCCCGTACCGGTCCAACTGACGCAAGAGCCTTCCTCCCGTGGTCACAAGCAAGCACCGTTCTAGAAATGAAATACCGGCAAATACGGAAATACAAAACGGAAACGGAAACAACCCTCCAAAAGTGAAAATACCTGACCGGAAGACGAGGGAACCCGGCAAAAAATGAAATACCATTCAAACGAACAACAAAATAGAGATGAAGGCGGGATGCGTTCGCCACCGGGGTTGTTCAGGAAACAGGAAAATACACGTTCAACCCGTCCAAGCTCTACCGTTTCTAGAGATTCTCCTGCAACATCAGAAATTTTCTTTACCACGACCATGTCTCGAGTGAAGTCGATCGTTCCCATCCCCGTTGCTTTCTCGTGTTCCCCAGAGTCGCTTCTCTTTCTCACCATAGCACCAGCAAAAATAAGGAAATAATTCGTGACATGTGATCATGTGTTTCCTTTTCTATTCCTGTTGTCGTCCGTCCCCGTTCAAGCGGCTGCCAAAGGGCCCACACTTGCCGAAACAACTCAACAATAATTCTTGGCGCCAAGGCCGACTCTTTCACCACTCGCCCACCTAAATAGCCCCAGTTGAAGGACTACGAGTATCCTATCAAGACCGACTTGTTCAGCTTATGTTTCACTTTCGCTTCCCATTCGAGGTTTACTTTCGCCGATCACCTTGTTAGCTCCACCTTGCAGACTTCTCCAATACACTTAAGCACATGGTTCCGAAATAATAGCCTGGGGCACCCCAAGGCAATTGCAACTGATTGCGCATGCCCACGCTATTCCTCCGGTTCAAACATCTCGAAAAACTCTTCATCAAGCAGGGCGAAGATCTTTCATGTTCATGTGCTGCTGGTACACTATTGCTGGACTAGGAAGCGGTGATGGCAGCGGCGGTGATGGTTCCGTCCGCATTGGCAATAAACTCCTGCCCACCGATGAGCACCTGTGCGAGTGTGAGAGCGCCGCAGAACAGCATCCAAAGGGCGGCAAACGAAAGAGCCGGTTCAGCACGTTACATACCTAGTTGCCCGAGCCATGAACATTGCATGACAGGATGACTACAGGGCTTCAGGTTGTATCATTCAATACACTATTTACCTCGCTGCGTCGGCCGTTGTGGAGACAAATTTCAGCAATGTTTACTTGCCGGCTTCGCATTAAAGAGTTGAACCCCGAAGAAGAATACCCCAAACAGTGAGGGACTCTTCAACCAGGAGCGCCGTGGAAATGCTTACCTCATCAGCCACCACAAGAGCAACGCATCGTTTGCCGGCGGCGACACCGGCAGGCACGGACACAGTCACCGAAAACTCCAGCTCCACGCCGCCTTCAACGTCCTCGTGGCCTTCGCTGGGAACTTGCGTGTGCCCCCAGGAGTTCAGTTCAAAATCTGAATCCCTGCAGGCCCATTCGATGTCAACCTTGTTATACGTCACCGCCTCGATCCCCTGCGTAGGTCCGTGTGCCACCGCCAAGCGAGGGAATTGGTTATGGGGCGCCCAAAGGGGTGCCTTCATCTTTAGTATGCGGCTGAAAAGAAACATCTCGTATTGTTGGTTCGAACGACAGCTACAATTCCATGAGACGATGATTTTCGATCGATGCTGGTCTCCGACTCCCTGCACCATCGAGCGCGAAGAACCCCAAAGATGGCCGATTGGTATGATATGTATGGTGGGTCTACATGTGGTGGGGCCACCGTGCACATGCCTCCAGAATCTTCTCGACGATGTCCGAAGAGTCGCTCGAAGTCGTCTCGACGACTCCACCAGTTCCGAGGGCAACCGTGTCCATGTCGTCGCCCGCCCCAGGAGCCTTGAGGGCAAGGATCTATAATCGTACGAACGGCAAGGCAGGGGCCATTGTGACGTACGTGAAAGAAGCTCTGTGGTGACACAAGTCTGCCATTCCTTGACCCTCTCGTTCAGTTCACACGAAAGCCATAAACCGTTAGAAGAACGCAAAACAGATTAGTTCCGTGCCTACCAACAGCGTAAAAGGGCTGTTCGTTGTGTAGTTGACACGTCGCTTGCTGAGCAGAGGCGATATATATTGTTTTAGTCTTTTTTCCGCTTTCCCCGATACATCACGAGCGACGTCTGACCTTCTGTCTAATGTAAGTTTCATTCATTTTTCGCATAGACATGTTTCGGTTTCTCTTGATCCGCTGTTTCATCGACTTTTCGAAGTGCGTACCCTATTCGGGATAGTTGACCCGTGACTACGGAAGACGTCGTTACTGGTCAGCCTCCCTGTCGGCGTCACCTTGATGTTCTTCGCCAAGCAGGTCGAAATAACCTGGTCGAGAGAATAGTATTCGTCCGCAAGTGCACTGCCGTCGCCAGGTACATGGAAGCTCGCGTCGGTCGTGATGACCAATATCTGAGGAGGGTTGGGCCCGAAGAATTACATAAGTTGTAGAGTGGTCGCTTGAGTACCTTGTCAGGTTCTCTGCGTATCGGACGTACCGGTAGTACAATTGAAACTCCGCCTAGTATATCCGAGGGGTGGACTGGGGCTAAAAGTACAGTAATTGTCGAATCTTTCACTGCCAATGGCTGATCAGCACACGAAAAGTGGTGGGCACGCCGCACTAGGCGCGAAAAGTGTTCCGCCCACTCAAGCGCGGACGAGTTGCGACACGTCCAAGTGTTACCATGTAAAAAATATGGTAGGCGTAGGAACTGCGACAGGTTTGTGCTGTGTGCACTGGTTCAATGATTGCAAAGAAGTGCGGTGCACTCGTTCTTCGTGTGCGCTGACGCTGACCAACGTCACAACGCATCTATTAGCTCGTACTTTTGTTACCGCAACATGTACTTCGACCCGTCACGGCTGCAAATGCCACCAATTCGCAATACCCACACCTTGAGGGCGGCGTCGCGCCAGGCCCATCCCTCGGCCGCGCTGACGAGCGCAACGGTCTGGCTCTCCGGTCCATCTCCACCACTTCCTAACTCGAGAGAATTGACGGCGGAGAGGAAGCTTGCGCGCTCTTCTTCGAAGCACGCGGAAACTTCCTCTTCCGTCCCTTCGCCGCAGTTTCCGAACGGTTTTAGCTCCGTGTATGCAGAGTCGGTAGAGGACCCCACCTCCTGGGGGGGGGAATTGGAGTCGGTATTAGATGGAATGAAGCTACGCGATTCGTGGAGCCTCCGTTGTTTTTCGGATTTCTCGTATTCAGCGAATTCGTTCGCGGGAAAAGCGCGACCATGCCCCATGCAATTGGTCTCAGTTCTAACCAATTATTATCTTGCAGTTGTCGGGGGTTCACCCCGTACCGTAGGACGCAAGGTTGAAGATCAATTCTCGGTGAACTGCCGATGGTCGGCCCGCATATAGAGAAGTGTTGATGATCATATCCGAAAAAGTGGCGGGCGCACGGACCGTGTGTGTGGATACGAACATGTTCAAGGCACAGCACAACTTGCCATCCTGGCCCCGCCCTATTAGTGTGCCGTCGACCCGCACGGTGATACAATGGAGAATACTTCTTTACGCGACGGTTGCTGTCTTGCGGCCAGCAGCCGGACATGTAGAGGTGCTTCTGAGCTGCCTCCAAAACACACACGCTCCGATATCCTGCTGCCGCTAGAGAGCTTTGCCATGCACGGTGTACTTAGCCACCGACGGCCGGGAACGCTTACCCACGTAGCATGTATTACAAAAGAGTGTATCAAAATCCTGCAATAATTTTTGTGTCTATAAAGACCAACGACATTTACGCCGTGTGCACACAACCACCCCGTATCACAATTGCGATATTTCTCACGGGGAAGTCAGAGTAGCTGCCGAGTGCCAGCCGATTATCGTCGACGTCCACCCCGGCACTGTCCGTTGACAATGCTTCCACCAGATCCGCAGCCAAGACCTTAAGATTGGCGATATCGTCCCTGCGTGTTGTATTTGGCGGAGTGACAGAGGTGTGGGACGCTTGATGCACGCTTGCGGACCGGGCGAGAAAACACACGTAACGGATGGGCTTGACCAGGTTAAAAATTCGATGCTCACCCGTAGCTGCCGGAAACATCGACGAGGAGGCCGAAGTCCACGCTTGATTCAGCTAGGCCAGGCACTTGCACCGAAAACGATACGGTCAAGGACTTGCGCTCGCCGCCCGCTGGTGCCGCCGAACAAGTAGGCAACGAGTCCATGTATCCGTCGCCGGCGTCTACGGGTCTCATTTCCAAATCTTCGATCGGAAACGCCGTGCGTAGGGAAGAGGGAGGGGGGAAGATATTGGTCTGGGTATCGGGCGAAAATACTGTTGTATTCTTATCCCTTACCCAGATCATTCAATGTAAGTATTGGATTTGGTTGGGTGAGGCCTCCTGCGCCTGCAGGAGGGCCTCGCCACAAGTAACCCTTTGGGCTGGGTGTACCCAGGCCCAAAGTGTTTGAATGATCAGCAAGTTCATGAATATAGTAAGCATTGTGTAGGGCGGGTGGGATGGTCTCAAATATACCCCTTCTTCTCTGCTCCGGCGTATTTCGGGAGAGAAAAGGGGGACTGAACTAGGTGGGGTCATTTTCCAACATCCTTTCTGGAATATCTGACTCTTCTCGATTTCGTTCCGAAATCTAGATGCGTCTCAAATCCGAGATTACTGTTGTATTCTTATCCCTTACCCAGATCATTCAATGTAAGTATTGGATTTGGTTGGGTGAGGCCTCCTGCGCCGGTCTGTGGTCCCGCCCATTACTTTCTTGTTAATTATCCGATCTGTCACATCTTATTTATTGACCACTCACGCCTCTAAGCTAGGTCTCGCCCACCCAAACTTTCTTATTTTTCGCGGCGAGCACACGCAGAGAAATCGCATGTGAAGTCAGCCGACAACGGCAACACGTTTGAGTCTGCGTACAGCTCGCTCCGGATCCTCTTGGAACCCGTTGCCCCCACACTAGTAGTGGCGCCAACATATCGCTTCGCTACACTCTCCGTACGCCACCCGGCAATTTTCATGATAGCGTCCATCGCCGTTCCGTCAAGCGACTGCGCTACCGAACCTCCAACGCCGGAACGAATGCATAGTGTAGCGGTGCGGCAGTCCCGCCGCTCGCAGATGCCCTTGTAGGGCAGCCGTCATCTGAACCGCCGTAAGCGGAGCACAGCCCCGAGTTCCATCCAGCAGAACGATAGGAAACAGATGTCCTTGGGACAAATCCCAGCCAATACCCCTCCGCCGCACTGATGTAGGCCGTAACATTGCTTACAGCACAAATAGACGGGCAAGCGACGTCCGGACGCACGACCACGGCATCAACGGAGTCGCGGAGGGTCTTGCCGAATTGGAAGTTGAAAATCAGACCCTGCCCCGCGGGCAACCGCAGAACTTGCGATCCCATAGTGAAGGAGAGATCATGGCCTCGCCGCATGGAGGCGAACGCCAGCGAAAACAAAGCGACGTCCCTGGTGAGCTCAATACGTTCCGCCAAAGAGGACGCAGTCTGCGCGCGAGAGCGCATGTCCCTCAACAGATCGATGAGGACGTGCGGTAACATAGCCTCTGCCTGGTTGACAGCGACACCCACACGTTTTTTGTTCCTCCCCCGTGAAGACGAGGTAGGAGTCGACGAGAGGACTACAACAGGGGTTGCCCGAGCGCGTGGCAGGGTCCCAGCTGCTGTCTTTTCCCAACTGTTCTTGCATCGCCATCTTCCACTTGGACACGATCCCTTTCTGCATGGACGCGGCAGCATACCGCTTAGCACATGGCGAGTTTGGAAGGCAATCGCGGCCGTGAGTCGTACCGACACCAGGGCATGCCCTGTCGTGCACCCACTTGGTACCACTACCTTGTGTGTCCAAGAAGCAGAGATAGTCAAACACGTCTCGGTCCGACGCCTGCTTCCAACCCCGACGTTGTTGAGTCGCCGAAAGTATGAAAGCGTCGAACCCGTCCGCTACGGCGCACTTACGCTGTTGAGCACGACGGTTAGACGCGGCCGAGAGGACCTGATCACCCCGAGCGCGCAGCGCGTCGAAATCGATCAACACCCGAGCCGCTTGGGGGTCACGCGGTACCGGACGCCCGCGGGCAGGCTGAACACCGCAGGACCAACAATAGTTGTAATGTCCCACGTTTTCCGTCTGGCACGACGAACACGCGACAAACTGGACACAGCCGCCCGGAGGCAGGGTGGGGACCTGTGAGACGAAGCACAAGCCATCCACAAGCCAAAGGGAGGGAACTGGGCAAGATGGACGAGAGTCGCATGCTGCATTACAAGGTACCGGTGTCAATCAAAGAGATTTTTTTTTTTTTTTTTTGAAGAGCGGCGGCCACCTAAGAACAAGAACCAAAATCAACCTCGTAAGCTACCATGGACCACCTCGGGTACTTCCACTCTTTCAGGGACCCATCTGGGCAGGGCCACTGGAAATATCCCCCCGCATTAGGCGGGGAAATCAGCAAAGACCGTACTGCCGCCTGCTGCACTCGAGGGAACCAGTAAGACCTAGAACCCGGTACAACAATAACCGCATGCGCGTGGCACTCCGCAAGGTGTTGCACTACGTGGCCCGCCATCACCGGCGGCGGGAAACAATAACCGAATGCTCGATCCAGAGAACCTGGGCGCAACGACACGTCTTGGGCGAAAACATCTACACCCGATGAACCCTCGCAATCATAGCGCGAGAAAAACGGCAGAACAACGTCCGACTCCGGGATACGTTGAGCCGAAGCGTCGGAGGCCATGAGGTCGATAGTAAACGGCCCCATGTCTGCCCAGAGAGCCTGAAAGGCCGCCGGGTTGAGCCTGATGATGCCCTCACGCGAAGGGCGAGAGATATCATCAGCGACGACATTGGCAGCCGACGGGACCCATTTGAGGGACAGCATAAACTCATACTCGACTTGTAGCTCGAACAAACGAACAAGAAGTGCGTGCGTTTCTGGGTCGCGCGCTCGCCCCCTGTTGAAAGATCCACACACCGCGGTGTTGTCGACGTCGATGAGCACGTGCGCCCGCTGCAAGGAAGCCGGAAAGCGCGCACAGAATAGGCGCAACAAGTGGTACAACGCAAACATCTCTTTCTTGTTAATATGTTTGTGTAGCCAATCGTCGGGGAACACGCCACCTGCGCGGTATTGAGCTCCCTTAATGTTAATAGCACCACCCCAGCCAAGGGAAGACGCGTCTGATGATCCGTCGATTTTGACGATGAGGTGGCTCGCTCGCTGCCACGGCCCTTCGTGTGAAGAAGCCGTCAGCGACAGCCACTTCTGGAATTCTTGCCGTAGATCCGCGTAAGCATCACGTGTCAGATCGATCTGACGCTGGTTGGTTTTGTCCATCGCGGAAAGGACGGCAAACATGGCATGCGTCCAAAGCGACGCCGGCCGAATCGCCACCGTCATGCTCATGCACTTACCCGCAACGCGCTGCAGCGTTCGGTAGGACACTCCCCCATCGGCCAGAGCTGTCTGCAGTAAGCCATGCAGCTTGTCCAGCTTCTCTTGCGGGATCCGGAATGTCATCGTCTCCGAATCGCAGATGATGCCGAGGTATTGTAGAGCTTTGACGGGTCGAAGCTCGCACTTCTTGAGTGACAGGAACTGTCCGCAGAAGAGCGAAGTCAGCATGGCGACGTGAGTCGCTTCCCCGGCTGCCAACCACTGATCCCGCGCCGGCCGACCATATGTGGCCAGAAAGTTGCTCCGCCAAGAATCATCGAGGTATGCGAGAGAAGGGGCGCCTTTGGAACGCTGAAAGGCCGCCTTCGCTTCGCTGAGAGTATGGTAGACGTACGGGCTGAGGCTAAATCCGAACGGGAGGACGCACCAGCAGTAGTCGACGCCCTTGTAGGATAAGCCGTTGTAGGAGAAGCAGCCGCCGAAGCCGCCGCCGTGGCGCGCCGCGTGTTGCGAGGCGGCATGTTACGACTCTCGAATATATCCCTTCTCCTCTATAGCTCCGGCGTATTTCGGGAGAGAAAAGGGGGACTGAACTAGGTGGGGTCATTTTCCAACATCCTTTCTGGAATATCTGACTCTTCTCGATTTCGTTCCGAAATCTAGATGCGTCTCAAATCCGAGATTACTCGGGAAATACGTGCAGACTGTCCGACACGGTGATTTCACCAGTGTCACACCTTACTTACTCGTAACGTGTCGCCACTATATCATGGCATTTGAGGAAGGAGAGAGCGCGTATACATGGGGAAAACTTACACAGCTGACACAGCCAGGAATCGACCGATGTTCCGCCACCGCAGCACCACGTGAACGGCAACGTGTCCTCTGTCTTGTGGTCAGACAACGCGCCGAGTTCCGATTCATGCCTGTTGACGGTGCCTCCGCCATCAACTGCGTCAACCAGTATATTTCCCGCCGTGTCGTAGCAGCACTGCAACACGTTTCAAACCAGGGTAAGAGCAATGGATATTATGGGCAGACTTTCTGGATGGTGCATGCCAATAATTGTCGGCGGATTTTCATGAGCAATCAATTCGTGCTTGTGAAATTATACCTACCCGAACTGCCGTTCTCTCTTCATGAGAAGATCTCTGAACAGGGGTCACATAGATTGTTGTGTTAAGGTTATTCGGGTGGACAAGGAAGTCACCATAGCCTCTCTGCTGTGCTCAGCTGGAAAACGTCATCCACTAAAATCCGACACCATCAGCGCGAAGCGCTTTCGGCGAGATTATGGGGTCTCGATGGTGCTTCACGCACATCAGGCACCGCATGGAGAAAAGACACCACCTAAGGAAAAACAAGTTGCTCATCTGAAGTCCAGTCGTCCCAATAGTGGGGTAAAACAATGCTCGAGGCACGACCGAAGAACAGGTTAAGTTGTGCGTCATAGGAGGTTCTAAAGTGAAGAAATATCGATACGCACCATCTGGCCAAGGGGTCGAGCACTAGAGCTTTACGGTTGTGGCGCGGCTTCAAGTCTTCTCGCAGATTTCCGGCCGGTGCCAAACGCACAGAAAAGTTTCAGGGACTCATACGGCCGGCCGCACACACACCTGGTTGCCGATGCCGGTGTTGGTGCCACCACTCGTGGCCTCGTTTGAACGCACACAGAACTCCGCTCCGGGGTGTAGGTCGCATGCCGGGGCAACTGATTTGCCGAGCGTTTTGTCCCAAAACCATGCCGTAACGCCATCTCGTTTACACGACACGATTTCTCGGTCGTCTCCAGCGGAATCAAACATGCAGCTCCCGAAGGGACACGCTATGTCGTTTTTCCACCCGCTGATCAAGGAGTCCGATTCCAGGACCGTGTAGGTGAAAGTTGCCGCTCCACTCTATGGCATCATCCACAGATCGGCAACGTCCACCGCACAAGGTATGGGAAGCAGGGGTTACAACGATGACAGGTCACCTGTTGGTTCACGGTGTCTCGGCTCAGCCGCTCAAGTACAAAGTGACATCGAGTACGTTCCTGAGGTCGTCATGAGGATAGGTTAAAAATAATTACATACGGAGAGCGTGAAGCAGGCACTTGATAGACATGCGTCATACGTAGGTTCTCGGCCAGAGGGGCGTACTTGGAGGATGTTCATGTTGCAACACAACGTTGAGCATGACCTCCAGGAGAACTTGCGTTTGAGGAATGTCGGCATTCGTTTGCATACGTTCGTACTGAACTCGCTCTGGGAAATGCGACCTTTTCGTTCGTTCGTTGAGCTCAACAACTTGCCCTTGGTACTTGGATCAGTCATCGGTTCTCGGTGACGTATATCCTTGCATTCCAGTGTAGCGACTTGGTGATGATATTACACTGTGCCTACCGAATACGTAGAAGCAATCTCCTAGTTCAACATTCTATACTTTTTTTAAAGCAGAAGTCCTTGCGACACGTACATCTTGATTTTAGTATGCATAGACCATGCTGTTGGCTTTTTTGCCCCAAATTTGACTTCTTATTGCATTTTGTCGCCCTCGTAAATCATCCAAGACGCCTTTCATGTTTGCGTGTGAAAATGCACACATACAGTACATGCTGAGACCATTGCCCGTAAAACATAAAGCCCGTGCTTCCGTCGCGCTCATCGGCGAGATTATGGTGGGGCACGCCCGTGGAAACGAAAAAAACTGACATTTCTTACTTTCTTTCGTATCCCGAGTTTGTTTACGTATCATCCCTGTTTGACTTCATACTGCACACGGACGATCTGACACGCCATCCACACACTTCCAGCACATGTCGTTCCAAGTTGAGTTAGGGATGGGATGCCACCTCCTGTTGCGAGTTGCATGCCATCGCCTACCGCCAAAAAGGGAAATTGATCAATCCAATCAACCAGTATTATCATCATTTTTTTCTTATTTATGCATTTTATGCGTATGACACAACGAATCCATCTCTCTGTAGAAAAGCATCCAAGATAGATTGAATAGCAATGAATCCTAGCGTCAGCAAACCGCCCTCTACTCGTCCTACTCGTCTATCGCGAAACGATAACTGTTGCACCGCGTCACACGACTGGTGTTGCCTTCCATTCTCTTACTAACTTGTGGTGTGCCTTTCGGCATGCCTCCATCACAAAAACGATTCTCCAAGAGTCAAATTCGACAGACGGTAGATGACACGCGTGAGAAATGCCACTCAGACGGATCGTTCGTCGAAATTCGATAGCTTCCCACGCTCATATGACGATACCCCACACAGTTTTCTTTCAATCGGATCTACATGTAGTACCCACACGCCAAGACTATTGTGTGATCCCGGTGCGCGTCCCGCCCCACGGGCAGGCGGCCGCCTTACCCTAGTAGTTATCTATCTCCGATACACCGCGGCTTTCGGCGCAGTGTCGACAGCAACAACCTCAAGCAAAATGCAACTAAATACATACCGTGGATAACGTGACGAGACCTGGCGGTGCTTGCAAGATGCAGCCAATGGTCGACGGGCAGCGGAATTCCTCATCGAACATATCGAGCTGAACACCGCGGCCTTCCTTGACTTTCTCCGCTGCGAAAAAGCACTGGCATCTGAAAGGAAATTGGGTATTTATCAGACCTCTTGGATGCGAACTACTCGAATGTGAAGCCTAACTCGGTAGCTGCGTAAGGTTAGGGCAAACGCACAGGTATACGCAGGGGCCTGGAACACAATTCCGCTTGCACAGACAAGTCGTGGGCATGGGGCTGCGTTGACCATCGACTATATTCATTCTACCTTTGAACCACTGTGACTCAAGCAAAATATATGTTTGACGTAGAGCAGAACATACTCTGATTGGTGACCTGTCATTTGTGATGCTCTCCATCAACAGGCGATCGAATAATACCCAAGGTCGACCATACCTAGGTGAACCTCATCGCGATTTGTGAGGAAGGCATCAGGTGACGACGATTTGGCGCATAAAACAAGGGTTTATTGCGTTACAGCCGTGGTTGCACTAGAGGAAGACCTCGTAGACGCCTGCCCCAGACTGACGATGCATGACCGTAATTACATGTAACCCAACCTCGCTTTCCAGTGCCGCCTATTGTGCCGGAGTACACTTACCTCGAGTAGTCGTCGGCAAACGCTGTTCCACACAGGGTCGTGCTGGACTCGTTCCCGTCAAGATCTTCAATCCATTCCAGTTGGCCCGTGGTCACCATCTCGGGGAAAACGATCGGGTCGATCCCACTGTCCTGGAGACGACGTGTGAGGCTCGCGGTGCTGCCGACAATCTGCAGCAGGGGGAGGAACCCGGCCGCATGAATTATGTGCGCTTCTGTGGATATGCATCATCGTATCAAACTCTTGATATGTACGCCACTGGTGCTTTCATTTGTCCGTATGGTGTAACATAATAACTCGCGGACACCACCAACTCGCAAACTCCCTACATCCATACGTCTGTCTTCCAAGCGCGAAGTGTGAACCATTTCAAAGAGATTCCTCCAGAATATACATATTCATGTAGCTGCCGCCAATTTTTCCGCCGACGCCCAGTGATGTTATTACCGTAGAACACGGGCACTAGAGGGTCCCCGACAAATAACATGCACGAGCGGCAGCAGCCCAGAGACGAGCAACGAAGCACAATAATTGAGATCGCCGGAAAGTTACCTTGAAGAAGACGTCGCTGCCGTCAAGGTCAAATTCGTCCAACGAAGTGGACGGGATGAGGTACGACCCCGTGTTGGGCACCTCGACCAAGACAGCGACATCTTCAAAGCTTCCGGTGTCCTCCATGATAAGCGCCAATACAATCTCGACGGAATCAGCCGAAATAGATGACGCGTCCCAATCCAGCTGGAGATCGGAAGGAGGGTCCGTGATGACCGACGAGCGCGGGGCACCATCGGTATCGCTCACGCTGGCGAGAGGGGACTCCAAAAGGCTGACGAGGTCGTACAGCATGATGTTGCCAACAATTATCTTCCCGGTAGTAGAACTAGCCACCACCGTCACGCCTAGCACGCCGATAAATATGGCGTTTCCAAACATAAATACGCGTAGGGGGAGAGAGAGAATGGTATGGTTCAGCAGACTTACCGGGGAGCTTTCGACCATGTGTCCTTGTCCCCGCTCGATTGGCCGATAGAACACCAGTCCAAGACTGAAACTCTTGGCGGGTGCATCCAAGAGAGCGGGCTGACAATGACCTCATGAGGCAGTACGATCGAGGGGTAGGACTCGCTTTCACTATCCGCAACAAGCAAGGGCGTCTCACTTGTGGTATCCGTGGGCAACGACGGCAAGGTGAACTGTGCGGTAGCAGCATCGATGACGGTTCCGGCCACGGCCTCCAAGCTGCGGGGGGGGGAGTAGCATGCACGTTGCAGGGTGACTACAAGAGGGTTATCCGAACGCGCCACACCTCGGCAAAGGTCTTCCCATATTGGTGTCATACAAGGCAGTCATCTGAGCCTGCCCCACTATGCCAAAGTTAAACAAAGAGTGCTTCAATCAAATGTCCACCCGTATTCAATCTTTCCAGTCTTGCCGAGGACTTGTTCCGCGTGAACAGGTTGGTAGCACTTGCGCAACGGCGCACATTACAGGTTTGATTATGTACTTACAGATCGTCTTCGCCGACAGCAAAGATTTCGAAGATGGCGGAGGGGTCGAACTCGCATAGAGACGATGTCACCGTCAACGACGATCCACCGAGAATTGTTGGTACTGTCGTCGCTTCCGTCAGCTCCATTGTGCACACGGTGTCGTCTGCGTAAGGGAATCAAGCGAGGGGGTATCACGTCGAAAATAGATTGCAGAGTAGATAAATTGGAAATCCATTAGTACCTTCTGAGACGAACCAATCATAGTTGTCGTTATACAATGATTGCATTCTGTGCTGAAGTGACCTCGCGCATCTTGTATTTAGCGATGGTTTTCGCGACCTCACACGAAACTCTCCTTCTTGCATGAAAAGTGTTCAAGGTTCGCCAAGCAAGGTGCGGGTATGAATTCCGTAGTCGAGCTATCGTGGAATTCCGTCGTTAACTATTCGACGGCGATTTCTTGAACAGGGAAATCAACCGTCCACACCGTTGGTAGATATGAGGAATTCAGGTGTGATCCAGCTATCCATGCCGGGCAAGCAAGTGTGTCACACGCTGACAAACTACCGCTATTGGCTACCGTTACACCGAGATTGCCGGTCGTATATGTGGATCGGTCGGAAGGAAACTGAATACCTGCACGTACAGAACGTTTGGTGATCCACTTTGGCGACTCAGGGACACGTACCTGAGACCGGGGCAATCATCGGTGTGGGAGTTGACGCTGACGATGGCACAGGCGTCGCCCCTTGTGAAACACATGACGGAACAATAAGCCGATGCCAACAAAGGAGCAAGAAATGTCGGACGAAAGACAGACGGAGGGAGAGGAAACAAGTGTTCCATGAGTTTGGGGGGAGGCCAGAACGTGGAACACTTCATCGCCGTCATACTGACTACGACTCAGAAAACGTGCACACATTTTGCTTTGAGGTTTTTCAAAACGCTTGTCAAACGTTTGTTTCTAGCTTCATTTCTGGTCACGGGACATACAGGGTCCAAGGAGGAGGGCAAACGACCCTCGGGACCGCTCGTACCACTCGGGAATCCGGCTAAACTGAGGAGCCTTAATTCTAGCTGACGGTTTCAGTTTTTCGTCAGGTAGTTCAGAGATACGGTGTCGGTCAAGCAAAGCGCACTCACCGAAAATCAAGACGAGACAGCGCGAAACGCGGGGGCAATTCGCCGATCAGTCAAAGAGTCGATAACCGTCCTGCAGATGGAACACAACATCCGCTGACCTCGTATACATAGGCACAACAGGCGCCCCTGCTACGTGAGCTATGACGGGGTGCTCAAAACCCTCGCCATACCGGGGTGCTCAAACCCATTGTCAGTCTTGCTGTTCTGATCATCATCAGGATATCCAACCTGCAGCACGAAGCACGTACAGTTTCGAGGAGCCACGAATATCAAGTCGTGTACAGTGGACGGTGTTCAGGTCTCCAAGATATGTGATGCTCAGACATACTAAAGGTTTGGCACAAAGCGGCAACGGAGCACCGCTTACCTTCATCTGAAGGGGGTAGCGTAGGGGCCGGCGTTGGCTCCGGCGTAAGGGCCGGGCCTGTTTCACAAATAGTGCAAGCATCCGTTCATAGTATTGTTGGCGCCGTGTTGCCAGACAAGAGGACGTTCAACGGCATATGTCGATGATGCATAGAACCGGAACGTTAGGATTCCGATAGCGCTGCCTGTTTCGGATGTGGTCTGAACATTGCCGTATCAACAAGTGCCTGAGCGGAGAGAATTCTGGCTAGCCGTTTCAACTTAATGTTAGGTTTTGAATGCTTAGTACGAACATCAAGATTCCCACCGTTCGAACTACCTCTCCAATATCGAGTGAGAGCACGGGGGAGCTACGATTATCAAGTCGTGCACAGTGGACGGTGTTCAGGTCTGCAAGGCATCTGATGCTCAAGGCATACTATAGGTTTTGGCACCAAAGCGGCAACGGAGCACCGCTTACCTTCATCTGTAGGGGGTGGCGTAGGGACCGTTGGTTCCGGCGTAAAGGCCGGGCCTGTTTCACAAATATTGCAAGCATCCGTCCATCGTATTGTTGGCGCCGTGTTGCCAGACAAGAGGACGTTCAACGGCATATGTCGATGATGCATAGAACCGGAACGTTAGGATTCCGATAGCGCTGCCTGTTTTCTGATGTGGTCTGAACATTGCCGTATCAACAAGTGCCTGAACGGAGAGAATTCTGGCTAGCCGTTTCAACTTAATGTTAGGTTTTGAATGCTCGGTACGAACATCAAGATTCCCACCGTTCGAACCACCTTTCCAGTATCGAGTGAGAGCATTGGGGAGCTAATGTTTCTGCAGTGACTGAGGGCCCAAAGTCGGAGGAGTCAACTCTAACGACATAACTTCCAAGAATGTAAGTTCGTCACTTCGGTGTTCGAACAAAGCGCCGTTCGATACTCTAGACTCACCAGTCACAACGCAGGGTGCTTCCCCCGTAACAGAGCAATCGCGGCCGGAGGCCCTGACTCCTCCACCACAGCAGGCTTCGGATCCACCGTCTCGGGAAGTGCACCCGGTACCTCCGCAAGATCCGCAGCTTAAGGAGCAGCATACATCGCTCTGCTGGATGCCGACAATTCCGCCGTCGCACATCGGAACTGTTCGTTTCGGATAAAGACGCGATTCATATCACAGGCGTGCCATTTCGCAGAGTTAAGTTCAAGTGAGAAGACGCCGCGCAGACGTCAGGGCCGGTCTTAACGAAGAATCGGTTCTCGATTTCGAATTTGATTATAAGAATACAAGAGCCGGATCTACCCAAATCCGGACAGAAATGGCCTGTGTGTCTTAACGGGAGATCTGCCAAATGGAAACGAATTTCTGCAGTCCACCACGAACAACCCGAGAGGTCCGCCGCTTGCCAACTGCCAGATTGCTGTTGTGACGTACTGCTATGACGTGGCCACACCACATGGGGAGCTATCGCTCCCGAGAAGCACACACCAAACGCGTACATGGTCTCTGTGTGGTACTGACACGATGTCTATGCATGTGATACTTTGAATCGACCCTCGTCCGACGGAAAGCCGCCAATTCGTCTGTGCATTTGAAGTTCGTCAACCCACGGGAGATTGCCCCACAGACCAACACATACATCCCACACACGTTTTTTTCGGGACCAGATGCTGGTGATGCTCCTGGTCACGTCCCCCGCCTTGCGAATAGGACATTCTTCCTCTACTGCTCTTGCGCAACAAGGTGCCCCACCGTGGGTGTGCCTGTGCGCACTCCGTGCTGGATTGGTGTCGCGGCTTGGTGTGGCGCCTTGCCACGGCACTACTTTCTTTGCGTCAGTGCGTCACTTGCCGTCGACTGGACCGCTAATGTTCGAAGTTGGTTTCGTTTCACCCAAATCGGGATCCGATTAAATCATTTTACCTTTATTTTGATTCCCGATTTGGAGAGAAGGGAACCGATTATAAGTCCTAAAGATTCCACGGGTTCCAGAACTTTTAGCCAATCAACAAGAGAGTTCTTTGGATCTTGTGGTCTTATAATCAAATCGGGAAGTGAAATCGGGAACCGATTCCTTCGTTAAGACCGGCCCTCATAAATGGTCAACCCCGCACTCGCTGGGATCTGGCGTCGTTGTCTGCGAGTTGAGTCAGCTTGAAGCTTTTTTTTCGGCTTCGCATAGCGCTTGTTCAGATATCGACAATCAGTCAAGCACCCTCACAGATAATGCAAGACGTGGCAGAGCGAAACGTGTGGGCATTTGTGGATCAGTCAAAGAGTCGATGTCCGTCCTGCCGATGGAACACAACATCCGCTGACCTATAGCACGTCAGAATCATTTCCAATAGGTGCGGCAGGGGTCCCGCCTACATGAGCTATGACGGGGTGCTCATAGACCGTGTCGGCCTACTGATCATCATCAGGATATCGAAGCTGCAGCACCACGAACCTGCAGTTTCGAGGAGCCACGATTATCAAGTCGTGTGCAGTGGACGGTGTTCAGGTCGGCAAGGTATCTGATGCTCAAGACATACCGTAGGTTTTGGCACAAAGCGGCAACGGAGCACCGCTTACCTTCATCTGTAGGGGGCGGCGTAGGGGCCGGCATAGGTTCCGGCGTAGGGGCCGGGTCTGTTTCACAAATGGTACAAGCGTCCGTTCATAGTATTGTTGGCGCCGTGTTGCCAGACAAGAGGACGTTCAACGGCATATGTCGATGATGCAAGAACTGGAAGTTAGGCTTCCGATAGCTGTGCCTGTTTCGGATTTGGTCTGAAAACTGCCGTGTCAATAAGTGCCTGACCGAAGAGGATCGTGGCTGCAAGGTACATGTGGGGTCCTGGAGAAGCTAAATTCTAGATGGCCTTCTCAATTGTTCGTTAGGTCTTGATTGGTGAGTACGAACATCACGCTTCACACCCTCAAACTACAGTACCTCCCCCAAAACAGAGTGAAGGCACGGAACATAACCCATATACGGTGACCGAGGTATCAAATTCGGAGGAGCGTTTCCGATATGCTCACTGGTCATGCAGGGAGCTTCTCCCGTTACAGAGCAATAGCGACCGGAGGCCCTGACTCCTCCACCACAGCAGGCTTCGGATCCACCGTCTCGGGAAGTGCACCCGGTACCTCCGCAAGACCCGCAGCGTGAAGAGCAGCATATATCGCTCTGCTGGATGCCGACAATTCCGCCGTCGCACATCGGAACTGTTCGTTTCGGGTAAAGACGCGATTCATATCACAGGCGTTCCATTTCGCAGAGTTAAGTTTAAGTGACAAGACACCGCGCAGACGTCACAAATGGTAAATCCCGCACTACCCGGCACCTGGTGCTATGGTCGGTGAACTGATTCACCTTGAAGCGCACTTTGCACCTCGCCATGTCCTCACCATAGCTATCGTTCAGAGATAAGACAGTCAGTCAAGCAAAGCCCACTCACAGATAACGCAAGATGTGACAGAGAAAAACGTGGGGGCATTTTGCGGATCAGTCAAAACGTCGATGTCCGTCCTGCCGATGGAACACAAGATGATCTGGCCTACAACGAAACCGTTAAATATAGGCACGACAGGCGCCCCTGCTATATGAGCTATGACGATGCGCTCAAATCTCTTGTCAGTCTTGCTGTTCTGATCATTGTCAGGATATCGAAGCTGCAGCACCAAGTACCTGCAGTTTCGAGGAGCCACGATTATCAAGTCGTGTACAGTGGACGGTGTTCAGGTCGGCAAGATATCTGATATACTGTCGGGTTTGGCGCAAAGCGGCAACGGAGTACCGCTTACCTTCATCTGTAGGAGGCGGCGTAGGGGCTGGCGTGGGTTCTGGCGTAGGGGCCGGGCCTGTTTCACAAATGGTACAAGCGTCCGTTCATAGTATTGTTGGCGCCGTGTTCCCAAAGAAGAGGACGTTCAACGGCATATATCGATTTATAGAACCGGAACGTTAGGCTTCAGATAGTTCCGCCTGTTTCCGATTTGGTCTGACCCCATTGTGCCAACAAGTGCCTTAACGAATTAACGAAGAGAGTTGTAGCTGCATAAAGGTTCACTGAGAGTAAAATTCTAGATTGCCGTCTCAACTTTTCGTCAGGTCTTGGTTGGTCAGTACGAACATCACATTTCACCCGCTCAAACTACAGGACCTCCCCAAAACAGAGTCAGGGCACGGAACGGAACATATACATATGCAGTGACCGAGGTCTCAAATTCGGAGGAGCGTTTCCGATATGCTCACCGGTCATGCAGGGAGCTTCTCCCGTAACAGAGCAAAAGCGACCGGAGGCCCTGACTCCTCCACCACAGCAGGCTTCGGATCCACCGTCTCGGGAAGTGCACCCGGTACCTCCGCAAGACCCGCAGCTTGAGGAGCAGCATATATCGCTCTGCTGGATGCCGACAATTCCGCCGTCGCACATCGGAACTGTTCGTTTCGGATGACGACGGTATTTAAGTCACAGCCGTCATACATCGTAGAGTTGAGTTCAACTCAGCAGACGCGGAACAAGCGGAGTATTGGTCAATCCCGCACAACCTGGGACCTGGCGTGGTCGTGGGTGAGTAGTTTCAGTTTTATAGCTCATTTCGCGCCTCACCATAGCCATGGTTCAGACAAATCCAAGATGTGACAGAGCGAAACGTGGGGGCACTTTGAGCATCAGTCAAAACGTCGATGTCTGTGCTGTAGATGGAACACAGCATGTCATACATCGAAACCGTTCAATATTGGCGGGACAGGGGTCCCGGCTACATGAGCTATGACGGGGTGCTGAAACCTCGCCAGTCTTGCTGTTCCGATCATTATCAGGATATCCAAGCTGCTGCACCAAGCACTTGCAATTTCGAGGAGCCACGATTATCAACTCGTCGTGTGCAGTGGACGGTGTTCAGGTCGGCAAGATATCTGATGCTCAAGACATACTGTCGGGTTTGGCGCAAGGCGGCGACAGAGCACCGCTTACCTTCATCGGTAGGGGGGGGCGTCGGGGCCGGCGTAGGTTCCGGCGTAGGGGCCGGGCCTGTTTCAGAATGGCGCAAGATCCGTTCATCGTATTGTTGGCGCCGTGTTGCCAAAGAAGAGGACGTTGAACGGCATTTGTCGATGCATAGAACCGGAACGTTAGACTTCCGATAGCGCTGCTTGTTTCCGATGTGGTCTGACCCTGATGTGATAGCAAGTGCCTGACCGAAGAGAATCGTAGCTGCAAGATACATAGGTCCCGGAGAAGCTAAATTCTAGATGGCCGTTTCAATTGTTCGTCAGGTTTTGATTGGTCAGTACGAAAACATCACGTTTCACTCGCTTAAAATGAAAGTTTGTTGTCGAAGACCGAATAAACTGTAGTTTATTGTGCACGGAAGAATTCGGAACATCTCCCAGATCTACGGTTGTATTTGAGTTCTTGTTGTGGCGTGTTGGTTGGGTTGTCTTGGTTTGGTTTTCTGGGGTCTTGCAAAAAGAAAGGTCTCACGGAATTCTCATTCTGCTGCCTCGCTGCTCCTGCATCAAGAGTATGATAGACGCGTGTCTACTGGACCAAGGGCCACGTGTTGAGGAATGCACAGTGTGTAACACGCAGCCCGCGTCGGAGGGTCACGCGGGAAGGAGGGCAGCAGCTAGCTACATCGAAGTTTGGACCCGTAGCTAGCAGAAATTCGTAGCTTTTCTCCCGCCCACCCACCCCTTTTCTTTCGAAGGTGGGGGATGGGAGATGTTACGAGTGAGGACTCACCTAGAAGAGGCATCTAAATATTTCTGTGACTCGGAATTGGTGCAACCGTTTGCCACGTAGAAGTATGGCGTAGCATTGGGGTGTTTTCTGAATGGTAGTGTGCGTACCATTGGGAGGCATTGGGGTGTTTTCTGAATGGTAGTGTGCGTACCATTGGGAGGCTCAATCGTCCGAGACTGCTACTGTGCAACAGTTTCGTCCCGTCTGGTAGTATTCGGAGGGAGATTTTGTGTTTAGAAGCAGAGACACGTTAGGATACCGCAGAGGCTTTGTGCCGTGCGGAACGTGTGGTACGGGGGATGTCTCCCTCCGTAGGCCACAGAAATATTAATCAAGGCAATTCGAAAGAAAACAAAAAACTGCAGTACCTCTTCACAACCGAGTGAGGGCACGGAACGGAACACATACATGTGCGGTGACCGAGGTCTCAAATTCGGGGGAGCGTTTCCGATAGGCTCACCGGTCATGCAGGGAGCTTCTCCCGTAACAGAGCAAAAGCGACCGGAGGCCCTGACACCTCAACCACAGCAGGCTTCGGATCCACCGTCTCGGGAAGTGCACCCGGTACCTCCGCAAGATCCGCAGCTTGAGGAGCAGCATATATCGCTCTGCTGGATGCCGACAATTCCGCCGTCACACGTCTCAACTGCTCGTTTGAGGTGAAGACGTCATTTGAATCACAGGCGTCTTAGAAGAGGTGAGTTAAAGTCGGCAGACGCGGAAAAACCGTATATATTGGTCGATCGTGCACCCCTGGAACTTGGCGTCGTCTTTGGCGAGCTATCTCGCTTGAGACTCACGGCTTACCTTGATCAAGGTTTACAGATACGACAGTTAGTCAAGCAAAGCACACTCATAGATGTGCAAAACGTGACGGTACGAAACGTGGTGAATTGCAGATCGGTCAAATAGCCGATGTCTGTCCTGCAGATGAAGACAACATGCGCTGACGTACATCAGAATGATTTCAAATGGGCGCGACAGGCATCCCGGTTACATGAGCCATGACGTGGTGCAAACTAACAAGCGAAGCTGTTGTCGGAGACGGAATAAACTGACGTTGGTTCAAACGGAAAGAGTTGTAACGCATTACGGTTGGCTACAGACATGTGAGCACATTTCGCGTGCCCCCAATACCTTCTGGATACTAGCAAAGAGAGCACGCGTGGGCCGTAGTCGTCGACTGTTATGCTCGTGAGCGCGAGAGAGGACAACGAAGTACGTGAGCACGTCGAAGGATTGGAACATCGGCCAACGTAGACAAGTGGACACATGACGTAGTAGTGTCTTTTTCCTTCGGGCTGGAGGTGAGGCACCAGGCGCGGAACACGCTTGGCTGGCACGCAACAACATCTGGTCGTAGAGGCTCACTTTGTCAGGTGGATGCTGAAGAGAATGAGACGCGCCAAGCGTGCCGCGAAACCCTGAATCCTTTCTCTACTGCTACCGTTCTCTTCAGCCGGTGTTGTGCACGACAGCCGCGGCTCAGCTGTGGCGGCATACGCGGTCGCACGCATGCCCTAGGAGCACGCGCGGGGAACCGCTACCCGACGAGAAGTGAAGAAAACAATCGTAAAAAAATCGTACGTGATACGAGATACCACACACCCTGGGGCGACTCAACAGACTTTACGTGCCCCGTTATTGTGCGCGTCCGGAGTGCGAAAAAAATTCAAAGTCCTTTGAATGGCGCCCTGTTTCTCAGCCTGAGGCCGGCTTCACACTCAAGTCGATCCCGAATGCAAAAATCAGAAGTCGCTTGCACGGCGCCCTGTTACTGAGCGTGGGGCTGGCTTCGGCCACCGTCGCACTCTCAGTTGATTGGCCGGTTCCGGAGGGCAGTGATGACGATATGGCATAGTATCATCTCCACACAAAACGTTATCGATCAAGGAGGGGCGGTAGTGAATATTATTAGGCCCGCGGAGAAGGGTCTGCAGGAAGTGGAGAGACCATTCGATGGAGACATTTCGGCGGTCAACCAAAATGAACGGTGGCGGCGTCCTTCCGCCCAACCGAAGGTCACCCCCAGAACACTTCGGCGCGACCTGAGTATAGCGTTGAAGCGCCGACCACTCTACCCCAAGCAAAGGAGCCCCGCGTCAAGTCGACTATTTCTGGTCTACAGCTGCAAAAGACGAGCGGCTTTTTAAACCATAGAGAGGGGGCGCGTGCGTCGGGAGTAGCAGAGGAACAGAGGGTATTCTGGGATAATCGGGTCTGCTTCAATACACGCGCGCTTGAAGACACGGGGAAGACACCATAGATCACGTGCGCCATATGGCCAATGGTTGTCGCCATGCTCTCACCAACTAGGGATGACAAGCATACCATGTTGTCGGCGTTCGTCGCCCCCTCTACTTCGTACCTTCGGCCTGGAGGCTGCGCAAATTGATGTTGATCGTTCCATTGTCGGCGAGAAGTTCGACGTTTCCCTGTTGACAAAAACGGTTTAAGCAAGCAAGGGTTTCGAACACGTCGACGTACTCTTCAACCGGAGAAATCTTGTCCTTCTACTTGCCTATGACGCAGCGCGCGTAGTCTCAACAGTGGCCCGAGCCAAGGGTTTCATCCGCATTTAAAGCCTTGTGTCAACGGCATTTGTCGTGCTGTCATCCTTAGCATTATAGGTTAAAAACCAGGCAATACTCCAAAACGCGGCGAGAAAAAAGCGTTGGGTAGCCACCCAATATGAAGTGGAAGCCAAACTGTAGTGCGATTTTATCAAGACGAACAAAGCAAAGGTCCGAACTAGCGCTTCCCAAGTGACAACTCAGATCTTCAACGAAAATAGAGGTCGAACACCGCCGCTGGCGTTGGTGTCTACATGTGGCACATACCTAACAAAGCGGTGAGAAGGACACCACCCTACACCTGAGGTACCTGAGGCCGCACGTGACCACGAGTGGTGTGCAGAGGCCTCTACAATAAGGCTTCATCGAAACAATGAGGGTGGACAGCGATGCGCTGCCATACTTAACATGGCCTGCGGCACGTTGGCGCCGTGAACACGTGAAATCTATTGAGCTCTAAACCTGTTGTTGATTGGCCCCAAGCCGAGTGCTGCTGGATGAGCACGGCTGTCCCGTTTGACAATGTGAAGAGATGGTAAAGTCGTTTTATTGGTCGTCCTCGTAGACACAAGCAACGGAAGAGAGTGGGCACTCAGGTGCATCACAAACACCGAGGCACGCGAGCAACAGTCGCAAGACGCATTCGGAACTCGGAATACATGACAGCAAGGAATGCGCGACAACTTGCCAAAGATCCTACTACCGGAGATACCCCGAAGATCCAAATGACCGATGGACGGTCACGCACTTGCGCACCTGCATAGCTCAAAACCACACATGAGTACTACCGCAGTAGCCTTCGTAAGGATGGCATAATCCACCTCACGAACACCCTCCCTGATTCTGTACATCATAACGAATGCTCTCAAAACCAAAGCGCTCAGGGTACTCATAGAAAACTCCAAAAGGAAACAAAAATAAAACAAACGAAGGGAAACCCGGCCACCGGATCAAAACCCTCCGCCCCCACGGGTCATCCTGCTGATTGAACTGTCAACACAATCAACACAGCAGTCACAAAGTTGCAAACCTACACGTCTACAACTGTCAGGCATTTGTACTACCCCTTTTCAAGTAGTCCCCTCCCAGCCAACAGGATCCCTACTGTATCGAGTTGCTGTCAGCACCGCGGCGCGCCTAAGGCCACAAGCACCAATGCCAAATTGCAGCGGAAAAACGTAAAACCTAACGCTACATCGCTAAATGACATTTTTATAGAGGGCGATCAACCAAGAGGAAGATCAAGCAGTATCTCAACCACAACGGTACCCCGCTTCGAGAGACACTGGACCTAGACATTTTTTCGCTACTCCTTCACAAGTAACTCCCTCCCAGCAACAGGATCCCTACTGCTGTATCCAGCTGCTGTTAGCAACGGGGCGCGTCTGCAACCAACCCCGATCACCATTGTCGATCACATGACAGTGAGGGGTGCCCCCCTCGGTCTGTACATCAATGAAAGATCATATAAAAGGGGCAATCAACCACATGTTAGGGGAGGGTGCCCCCTCTCAGCCTACACATCAGAGGACGATCGAAGCAGCATATCAATCACAAACAGTTCATCAACCAGCCTGCCGGTACCTGCTAATATGAGAGACGCTGGTAGCCATCTATCACGGAAAAAGGCGTCATTCATCAGCCCTCCCTGATTTCAGGCGAAATAATTCCGAACATCATCAATCAAATTGGTGTGACCGCAGTGCCCTGCGGATCACCATTCCTCAAAGTGAGACGACAACGGAATGCCACACCATCCTCAGTATTTCATCGTGCAATAAGCCTCATCATGGCTCAACCTACGCGGTTAGTTACTGAGATGCGCATGGTATACCGGACAGGCAACATCGAGTTTCGTGGACTGCGTTCGTATCCCGATCGAACACACAAGAAAAAAACAACGAGCGAACGGCGGAAAAGTAACAGGCCAGAAAAAATTCCCCTTTGTACTTTCGTCAGTCGTATCATCAAAATCGGCTCTTTATGGGGGAATGCCGACGAGCCGAATTGCACGCAAGGCACGAAAGCGAACGGGCGTTGATGCCCCGCTGGGAAAACAGAACTAGACAACATCAGAGTGCTTCGTATGCGACGTCCAACTCGACACCACCGCCTCCAATCGCGGCGACTGCAGTTTCAGTTCTCGATGGGCATTTTTTCGCGTTGTGCCCCTTTTTTCCGCACCTCTGGCAAAGCTTCTCTGGGCATGCACTCGCATAGTGGTCACCATCACAGATGTAGCACTTGACTCTCTTGTCGCTAGCTAAATTCGCCTCTTCGTAACCTCGGTTTTGTTTCGGACGTCTCTTTCCTCCCCCCTTCCCCTCTACTGCTACGAACGCATGATGGTTCGCTCGCCGATCACTCTTCCCCTTCTTTTCCTCCGCTTTCAGTTGCCCAGCCCGTGTTCGAAGCACTCTCAAAATCTCTTCTTCATCGAGTGTTTTCTGGGCGAGCAGCTGTTGCTTTTGAATCTCAAATTCCGGGGAAAGCGCATCGAGGAACCGTGCATACACGAGCATTTTTGGGATGGGCTGGTCGAATGCCAACTCTAGGTTAGTCACTACGGACTTGAACTCCTGGAAAAACACTCGGGGTTCCTGGTTCTTCCCTTGTTGGGCATTATAAAACTTTCCGATCAGCGAGATCTGCTCGCCGCCGGTCAAGGGGGTGAATGTTTCTTCTAACGCACGCCACGCTGCCGAGGGCCCCTTTCGATCGTACACCAGCATTTTTGTGGAGTTGTTGGATATCGCTCCGGTCAGCATCCCCCACAAATCCCGGTACATGGCTATCTCCCCTACTTCCACTCCTTGCTCTATCATGCCATCATCGTCTACGCCTAGGACCTCAATGTCTCTGCTGTCGCTCAGGGCGCGACCCATCCCACAAGT